TGCAGAGGAAATAGGATATACTGGTTCTTTCCAAATAGCCGTATATCAAGAATAGGTGCTTAATCTGAATTTGCATTTGTCAGTGAAGCGAATGGCTTCCACTAATGCAGTGTTCAGAATCTGTGTCCTCTGTACAATGCGAAACGGGCTCTTTTAGGCGCAGAATTGAGCGAGACATAAATAGCAGGTCTTCTTGAAAATAGATGAAATCGTAGAACGTTTATAGAGGTACAGTTGGCCACGCTTCAGAGAGCAACTGCAATTTACCTTTTCCCTTACAGAACCATACCGGACCTGAAACCTGCGTTACTAATGATGTTGGACCGACTGGTAAAGGGTCTCATGAACTGCCTCATATATGGTATGATGTTCTGGACTTTCCTTTTTGTTCGTACTCTAACCTCTGATTTAGAGCTTCTCCACTCCGATGAATCTTGCGCACAGTTATGCATGTATACTATGACAAGTGTACCGCATATCTTTGTTATGTCAGACTGTGGCCATTTCAAATTTCAATAAAATCTATCAATCAGATCTGGAGATAATCGACCAAGAAATTTAAAAATCCTCTTTATTTGGAACATGAGTTTAGAAATGTTATATACTTTCCTTAACATGATCTAAAATTTGTACTTGATACTTCATTTGGTTTTTCACTAACTAGTATGTAACGTAGCTATGGTTATGATTCGTAGAGTTAAAACTGACGAGGAACTTACTGTCCTCAAATCTAAGGGCTGAATTATCATGTTATGTCGCAATTAAGATGAATAGTAATTTTTCGCGCCAAGCGCGACGTTCGCTCGTTTTACTGTTTAACTAGTAAAACAAAAGCAAGAATCAAAACTATGCAACTAAAAATTAGAACGAACTAAGCTAGGTAAATTGTTGTTATTAATACTCTACAGTTAAGATATCAGTTACAACACACCGTCAGTGTGAACTGAGACTATCGTTACCGTATATCGTTATCGTATAATTTTATCGTTACCGAAATCTACGAAATCATAGTTAGTTCTAATTCCTTTGCTTGCGAGCCACTTCTGCAGCTTGACGGCAGTACTTCAATTAAGCACCCAATTAAGATTACATCCTAGTTTTGGACTATAGTTTGCTTGCCATAAAATTTGCATCAACTTCTGATCTGAGTGACTCATGTGACAGATAAGGACTATCAGAAAAGCATTAACTTAAAACTAATTGTTAGTGAAAGTAAATCGCAAATGTTACAAGCTTTCAGGCTCGTTAAAATGATGAGCGTAAGAATTCCCTGACCTATTGGCAGGAGTAAGCAGTAAAGGATTGAGACGGTGCAATATCTACTAAGAATTTATTTTATATTGAACACCGTTACTTGGACTTCTTTTGTGACTAACATTTGATCTTGGATAGTAACAACTCATTTGTTTCTGATATTACTTCTTCATTCATTGTCTTTCAAATGCAGTTGTGATGATGGAAATGTAATGATAAGCACAAGTACTTTTTATGCTGTTGCGAAGAGATTGTTTACTACTTACGTTGTAATAGTTTAGTCCTGAAAAAGTGATCTTCGCAGTCCGCCCCTCCTAACCGCTATACCGTCTGGGCGTCGTATTAAGTGATACAGTGTGTACTGTATTCTTATCAGACTCAAATGTCCTTTCTTGAATAGTTGGCCAAACTCAGCAGAATAGGGTGAACTGAACATTCCATGCAGAAATGTAGAATAAAGATTTAATAATCTATGCTTACTGAACTAGATCTCGCACTTTTAAGCCTGACTAGCTATAAACCACAATTAAAGATTCAATTCGTCAGCTGTACTTTTCATACTGTTTTAATAGATATTTTCCTTGGTTTGTGAATTGAAAAGTATCATCATAGTTTAAAATGTTGTGTCTATTAACGTGAAGTGTCTTGTTATATGTTACATTTTAAATAATATCTAGAAAACAAATGTGTGACCTTTTGTCACACTTCTTGTCTTGCTTTACCCGCCTGCAATGGCCATATGCCTTTCTGCTGGTTTTCGTTGTCTTAAAGCTGAAATAATTACAATAGAAGACTTGCTGAAGAATGAATTATCATACGATCAAATAATTCAGAAGTAATAGGCATTTCAAATTATTCTAGTAGTGGGCAGGTGGCCCATTGCTAGAACAATTTGAAAAGTAACTTTACTGAAGTGTACTCCTCTCAGAATTAATAAATAGCCATTTTATGCCTTTTAAGCACAATGTATAAAATATTAAATGCACAGACAGAAATAGGGCATTTTAGTACAAAATAATGTATACTTTAAGAGGGGGAGAAAAGTAAGTGAAGATTTACGTCATAAAGAAAACATTAACTATGAGTTATAAAATAAAGTGTCCTCCTATACTTGGAAAACACTTCGTCAGCTCATAAACTAAGAGGCTGCTACTAAGTTTGGGATTTTTAAGATAATAGATAAAAGCATGAACCTGAAACTTCTTTTTATTTTTAAAATTGGTCATTCGCTCTTTATGTGACTTATTATAGGTGTACGCAAGTACTTTTTTCCTTGTACAGTGAGAACTGTACAAGCTCACTTCTACAAGTGAGCTAAGATCCTTTTCTGCTTCGAAACATAGTCAAAAATATGCATAATCACCTTTCAGATACTTCAAACTAAATACGTGTCCTACACATAGAATACAAGAACAGAAATAACAGTAATGAAATTAAACGAAGATCTGCAAAAATGAAGAAAAGTATAAAAATTAGAAAAAAAATTCTGCTGTGTGATGATAGATTCTTTCCTTTAATTCAGTAAGGCGTACAACATATTAAAGATATTTTTGCAATAAAGATTATTTAATTAAATTATTACTCAACTTAATGTGACTCGAGCGCCATGTGTTTTTATTTGAGGACACTCAAACTACTTAACAGTGCTGGTAGACATTCTTTGACTTAATGACCAAATGGCGGAAGAGCGATGGGCAACATTGCCTAAGCTCGTTTCCTTTTTTTCATATGAAGGAAGTGCCACTAATTTTATGTTCGCAGACATGCATTGTGGGAAACGGAAATAAGAGTCAGTTTCCCTTAGTCATCCATGACGATTGTCTGCTTTTCTAAAGCACAGAGCTCTCCTGTACAGTACTGTGTTCAAATACATAATTTAAGGGATATCAGAAACCGCTATACCGATAATGTTAAATTGGCCATTTTCGATGTACCTTTTCTCAAAATCTGCTGTAGATACAAGCTTAAATTTTTTTCTGTTATTAAAGTATACCTATTTGATTATACACGAATGAGCTTTTGAAGCATTTTGAATTTTAGAGTAAATTACAGAATATTTTGTTAGGCATAGTAAAATTTAGCACTTTTCTCTCACACAAAAAAATTAAATTTTTTGAATGTTTATTACAAAAAGCTCATTTCAGTAAATATTAGGGAACCTATTAAATAAGCCATAAAACGTTTAGATACTTATGAGCAGTAGTTCCTGAGAAAAGGTACATCGAGTATAAAAAAAATCACGTTTGGAGAAAAACGCGTTTTCATGTAAAAATCCTCATTGATCAAAGCAGTAGATGACAAATTAAAACTAGATTTTTTTACAGTTCTAATTTTCAAAGAGATTAAAGAATGGTATTTTTAGAAAGATAAAAGTGTAGAGAATTTGAAAATGCAAAAATCTGAAATCACAATTTTTTGAAGATTTTGGGGTTCCAACACCCCTTAACTTTAGCTCTGCTTTGTAGAATATATGATGGTCTGAGAGCCAAAATCAATAATATGTTCTACCTGTGGCCGTGTGGTTAAGATCTCTAAATACTAGAATTTTGACTTGGGTTCGATCCCACGGAAACGGGCTGGCTGCATATTTGGTTTTAGTGGCTTTTCTCATATTAAACGTGAAAGCGAAAATTACCGTTAAAGTCTTCCTTAAAGGCATCAGTTCCCAGGTGGCTATTCTGTACTTTACCATATTCGAATAACCTAACTGAAATCAATAGTACTGTAAAGAATTTTACCTAGTGGCCCTTACTATCTATACTGAACGTTGGGGTTTACGGGAAACTTATCCAGAATTTTAGCGCACCTCGTAGTACTTCTGTTCCTTCTCCTAATTTAGTTTGTGGAAGACTAGAAAAAGAAAACGACTTGCCTATTCAGGTACAAAATGTTCCGTTTTTACTTTAACACTTTTTAATAGTTTATCCGACCTTCACTAAAAGAACACTAAAAGAAACTAAGCACTCTTTCCTTCTGCTAATAAATTAAGCTATTACAAATAGTCCCGTAAATTAAGACATTTACGTTTCATACTAAGTTGTGACTCCACTCTCGAATGTATTAAGAATCAGCTATTTTTGTGTTTGGATTTCGACATACGGACGGGCTGCATGGGGTTTTCGTTTCTGTCTGGCGTAATAAAGTTTCCGTTTGAAATTTCTCCCCGAAGATATCCCTTCCTTTGTCGTATTCAAAGGAAAAGAAGATGTGTTAAAAAAGGGGGGGATGGGAATGTTCAAATTTTAAAGGATTCAGATCTTTCAGACATGATTAACAGCATCTATTTTACAACTTTGTTCTTAAACCAGATAAGGGCTCACTGTATCATTACTTTGATTATATGTTCGTGTTCGATTTATTTGCGTAATATGTGCTCACGTAACTGTGGAACACCAGGTTTTGTGTTCAGTAGATTATAATTAGACTCAATGTAATTTTAACGAATCTTTGTACAGTTAGTTTCATTTTTGCGATTATCTTTTTATTCTAAATCAGCCTAAGTAATCCCATTTAATTTAGAAGAAAGTTTTCGCAAATAATGTTCTTGCACTTTCTTTTTGATAGAGGCCCTAAAAATGTGTCAGTGCAAGCTAAATGTGTAAATCACGTGAGACTTGTATTTTTAGCATTCTGCATTACGTTAATTTGAAATAATTACGCATAAATGTTTTTTTTAATTCACTAGCATTTTTCTCATTTGTTTTGTTTTCTAAAGACACTGTTATTTTATTTCTTCTATTTTACAGATTCGTGTTACCTTGGAAATTTAGAAGTGCAGGATTACTCGTTGCATAGTGGTGCACTTTATTTGTTCCCAAAAGCCCAACTATCGAAAAAAAATATATGTGCTGATAAAATATTTTAGACACGCAAGTTAATAACGTAATTAGCAAAATGGAGGAAAAAATAAAAATTGGCTCTCGAGTGCTCGTTCTGGGAAAAGACTTGAAAGGTACAGTAGCATTTATTGGTTATACAAAGTTTTCAGCTGGTAAATGGTTTGGTGTGGTACTAGATGAACCCAAAGGCAAAAATAACGGCTGCATTGACGGTATAAAGTATTTTTGTTGTCCAGATCAGAGCGGACTTTTCGTTCGCGAAACACAGCTGCAGGTTATTGAAAATAAGACAGTTTTACCTACGGTCTCAGGGTTCTTAACTCCTCAGACCTATAGAAATGTATCGTTTGATGAAGGATCTCATCTGAAACGCCGAATGACATTCGGCTCAGCTATTCCGAAGATAAAAATCCAACGAATTCATCAAAAAAGTACACCAAGAGCACGTCTCCTTTCTTCCTCTTCTACTAGATTAAATCAGTCCTCGTTTACTGATTCCCCATACCACCTCCTTAGAGTTCCTTCTGCTACACCTACAAATAGTTCATATGACTTAAGAAACTTGCTTCGGGATAAAGATCAGCAAATTGATGAGCTTAAAAGGGAAATATGTTGCCTCAATGAAAACCTTGAATCTTTGAAAAAATTACAAGCTAAAGAACAAACTAAATTAAATGAAGCAATGAAACTAAAATTAGAGGTTGACCAATTATTGGAGCATAAAGTAAAAATTATGAAAGTGCAAGCAGATCTCCAGAAGGAACTAACTGAAGCAAAAAAGGAAGCAAAAGAGGCCATCAAAGCGAAGGAAAAGCAAGCTGAAGAAATTTCAGATTTATTTGAAGCTACTGAGCTAGCAGTGTTGGACAAAGAAATGACGGAAGAAAAATTAGAAGATATTCAATCGGAGCTAGAGCAAACGAAGGAAAAATATGAAAAGTTGTTCATCAAATACGAAGCCCTCAAGGAAGAAATTTCAAAAAGCGAAGAAATGGAAACTCCTTGTCAATTCAAACAACTAGAACAAGAGAATGAGAAACTGAAAGAAGCTGTTGTGCAGATGAGGGATCTGTCAACCCAAGATAAGCAGGAGAAACTCAAACTTATGAAGGAAGTTGATCAGCTGAGAGATGATATTAAGTGTTTAAGAGAGAAAAGTGAAAACCTAAGTCAATTAAGCAGTGACAATGAGAAGAAGTTTATAGAATTGCAGCAACAGGTGGATATCTTTTTTGGTGCTGAAAACATTATTGAACAGTTAACTGAAAAGAATTTGGCGTTAGAAGAGAGGATACAAAAGTTACAGCTTTCAGTTGATGAGCTGGAAGAGTTAAAAGAGGTAAATGAACTAATAGAAGAGAATTCGAGGGAACTACAATATGAACTTCAAGAAGAACTCATAGTCACAAGAGTTAAACTTCAGGAGAAGCAGAAAATAATAGAGGAATTGCATGATTTAATAGCTGATGACAAACTAACTATTAATAAATTCCGTGATCAAATTGTCCAGCTTCAAAGCAAAAATGCGAAGCTTCAAAATTTGCTAAATGAAAGAAAAGAGGAATTCCCAATATCTAAATTACAAGAAAACTTTAAAGTGAAAAACATTGAACACAAATATTTTGTCCTTAGTTTAGAATTGGACCTAATGCGTGCTGATTTGGAGATAGCTAATAAGCACATTAATTATTTGTGCGCTTTTATGCCACAGGAGTTTTTAAGTCGAGGTGGTGACTACGATGCGATCCTTGCGCTCCTGTTGATACATAGAATGGTTACAAAGATTGAAATTTTAACTTTTAAAACACAAAGTAAGTTTCCTGCCCCGGAGGCAATAACTAAAGATGATGTCCTCAATTCTCATGTCATTGATCAGTATGGGTTCGTTTGCCGTTTGCTTTACCAATTATATTTTCTACTATTACTTTTAAATCAGTATGCTTCCATCCTAAGCAACTGTGATCTTGATTTATTTATGAAACTTCGTTTATTTTACAATGATATGAAAGTCGGAGAGAAATCTCTAGATTTGTATTTTGATCTTTTGAAAAAAGAAAACTTGGCTGAAAACATTAACCTCGACCCATTAATTAAAGCAAGGAAATATTTCCAGGATATCTATAATGCAAATTTGGCTTCAGAAATAGTAGATTGTTGTATGCTTATGCATGATAACGTGAGGCTTGTAATAGCAGCATGTAAATCCATCTATACCGATGTTTCTGTTATAACGACTTTCGTTGATAGTTCAGATGCTGATTCTTGGTTAAGTGACATTCGTCTTTATGCAAATGAAATTTGTAATTTTGCAAAAAAGATACAGAGATTAATTCCTAAAGATGGAAACACCTACAATATGGTGTTACCTTCTGAAGTCCAAGAGCGTCTGAAAGTCTTCCGGCAGGATCTTGAGCAAACTATGGATTCAATACATGTACTTAGAAAATTGGTTTTGCAAGAGATAGACCCGTCATCCCACTCGAGAAATATGAAAACATTTTCCGTTGACTACATTAAGGAAAAATGTGGTGAAGAATGCACTCTTGGGAGTATGATGAAATTAATGAAGTCCCTTGCAGTATATTTTAAGAGTTTATATTTTGATATATTACACGGAAACTACAAAATCGAAAATTCTCAACCTAATAATAGGAAATCTCCTATAGATCAGAGGGCACAAACGGTAACGAAAGAAGCAAGAGATTTGAAAGCGTTAAAATTCAAATTAAAAGATCGCGAAGATGACATAGCTCAGCTACAGAAATCACTGTTGATAAAGCATGAAGAGTTGAATACAATGAGTTTACATAAGAAGATGGTCGAAAGAAAACTAGCATTGGCTGTAAAAGAAAAAGTTGAAAGAATAGATGAATTGCAGAAACAGTTAGAGAGTGAAAGAATGAAGCTCGTTGAGAAAGAAAATGAATTCGCAGATGTACTGAATCACCTGCAGACTGAAATAGATTCTCTAGAAACCGAAAACGATCTGCTAAAAGATAAGCTGAACTCAAAGATTGATTTGACGAGCGACACAGCATTTTCAAAAAATCCTCTTCAAATGTCGGATAACTTAGAAAGCCATGATACTCTGCTTTCCCATCAAGAGCAAAATTTGCTTTCTCTAGTTAACAATTTAAAAAGTGAAAACTTCAGATTACAAATCGCTCTAATAAGGAAACAACTTGACAGTTTAGCACCCCTAATTGTTCCAAGGAAGAATGTATTTCGAAGCTCATCTGAAACTCGAAAGGTTATGGACTGTGATTGCTCATCTGCGAGAAATACTGCTGTGATAACAAAGAAATACAAGGATTTATCACAAAAAGTATTGGGTCTTTGCTGTCCACTTGTTGTAGATATCAGTCACCAAAAACGTAATAAAGGTAGTACTGAATATTCTCCTACAAATTATCTACTTAAGTTAGCACAGCAGAAGGAAATCATTGAAAAAGGTATAGTGGAATTAAAATCATTAATTAATTCAACACGTAAGGGGAAATATGAAACGAAAACTGATTTTTCAATGTTACCAACACTCAATTTGCCGCTTGACTATAATGCAGAAAAGAAATTAGCAGCTAAAATCGAAATACCTCAATCCAGCTCTAAAAGTGCAAATAAAGTTTCTCTTGTTCTAGATCAAAGTAAACTAAGACACCTTCATTCCGTTATGCTGTGATAATTGCTTGTCCTGACGAAAATTATTTCTACTTCCAGTTATTATTCTTCTTGAATTTAAATATATTTATATTCTAAGTGCAAAAAAAAAAAAAAAAAAAAAAGAGCTTACCTTTAAGACAAATTGAAGGAAATATAGAACAATTAAAAACAAGTTTTAAAATATTTTGATTTTCGAAATACGATACTGTCAATTGTTTATACCTTGATTTTATCTATCTAGGCGAAGGAAGGAAAGAAAATCATATTCGAGCAATGATTATATAATTTTCCAAAAATACAATTTTTCATATTTCTTTTGACAAAGACATTTCATATTATATGCTTATCACTTAGAAGCAAAATGCTTTATTTTTTCTGACAGTTAGCTTCTTACAGTATTAACATGTATTAACTCATCAAGACTTCAACTTGTTTTCAATAAGATAAAACTATCTTCAACATTTAACTGTGTTTCACGCAATAATGAACAATTATTGCGTCACATAAGTTATTTCTCAGCTTTTCCGAATTTTTGGGTATTAGGTACACGTTCTTTTAAACTATATGAATAAAGGAAACCTGTTAAATTTGTTTTGGGGACTTTGTTTTCCATAAGAAGGAAGTTTCAGTCTATTGATGTGAAATAAATCATTTTGCAATTCAAATATACATTTGTTTCTATATATATGTTTATGTGCTTATACGTTTATGTTTCATATGTTTTCTTTGTCTTTTAGGGAATAAAAATACTTTCCTAGGTATCTCCTTCAGAAATAAAAATTTTACTGTTGTGAATAATATTTTTCTGCTATTATATAAACTTTGATTGCTTTGAATTATTATTCCTTTATTATTATGCTCTTTTATTTGCTGATTGTTAATAGTTCTCGATAATTTGTTGTTCTGTTGTTTTCGATCTGATGTCTCATGTAATTACATTCATTTAACAACTGTAATTTTAAAATAAAATTTACTTTTGAATGAGTCGAAATATTTATTACGCGTGAAAATTTTGCATTTATTGTAAATTGTATCTTATAAGTTGTAATACTCTGAAACTAAACTTTAGTTACAGAGTACTATAACTACTATAACTTTAGTTACAAAGTACTATAACTTTAGTTATAGTACTCTGAAATATGTTTCCAAAGTTTTAAGAGCTGATGACCCGGTTCTACTTCACTATGGCCTGCGTGATGCAGTCTATAACTGAAAATGGTACGTAATTGTATTAGCCAAGTAAATATTGTTATTTATTCAAACTATGAGGTGTTAAAATTCTAAATTAACATTCGCAGTTTGATAGAAGCGTAAAATCAACAAAAGAGCACATTTTAATGTGAAGGGTATGTTGCTGTAGATGGCTGATACCGCTTTTTATATAAGAAGTGTACGCGTAATTGTGAAGACACTGAGTTTCCACACCTAAAAGTGCAAGAACAAAGGGCAACGAGAAATCTGACTACTCTTTCGGAGTGCTGCTAGATTCCTTTTCCAACCCCCCCAAAAAAAATTAACCATGAAGAAATTATCAAGTTTGCGTACCTTAGCAGTATCACAATAGTATCTATCAGTAGATCCAATTCACGAATAATTTAAGTCATAGTTTCTTCATTTTCATGTTAATGAAGAATGGTCTCCCATTTCGCATTTTACTGACGTGAATAAGAGGAGTCCGAGAGTTCCGAGATTGATAATTACTTGAGTCTTAAAGTGCTTATTTATTATCAATCTCAGAAAACGTTTCTTTCGACAGAAAGCAAATATGAGGTTTAAACTTTCTTCAAATACTCTAGAAATTCAGGAAAAATACGAAGTCGTAAATTTTTTGTTTACGAAATAATTATTCTGACACACCAGCATTTTATATTTGTTTGGAGGTTTTCTTTCAGAAGTGTTGTCCGAGCTTGCCCTTAAATGCAGTTCCACACTTTGTGAGCACTTTTCAAAGGCATAGTTTTCACGGATATAATTTCTTTTAATGGTTAATTACGCTCAGTATTTTTTTCAGAGAAATATTAAGGTACCGACAGACACAATAAATTCGCTAACAGTGCAGAAAATGTCTTTTAAGCAAACAAATCATGCTCGAGATCTAGGAGTTCTGGTATCTCAATTGAAGGTTTGCAAATTAACTCATTAACCGCCAAAACTACAAGGAATGTTTCTTTTCTCATGAAAATAATAACAAATATTAAATTAAGCATTTATAACATAAATTTACATTAAAAAAAAAATGCTGCTCTTACCTGTGGAAAAAGCGAGTGTTGCGTTCGCGCAACGTCAGCGGAATGAGACTACGGATGTTTAGTGAGTAGGATTGTACTCGTGTGATGTTTCTTTCCAGTGAAGCGAAGGATTACTTTTTAGCTGTATAACGTTTTATAAATCTACAAATCAATTTACTTGTTAATTAATTTAATATTAAAATATACATTGTATTTCTTTTACAAATACAGATTATTTCAATCGAAAGATTCAAGCATGAAAAGCTTCACTTACAATCATTGATGTTTAAGCTACATTGCATACTTTGCATCTATAAACAGTCTAACTATGGTACTCTTTACAACAAAGTCTTTTATTATCAACGGACTTTACGATAAAATGTCTACCATCTCCATGCAAAGGTTTTTGAATGCTGAATTTACTAGAATTCTTGTTGCTGATCTATTTCTGGCTTATTCTACACTCTCAATAGGAGTTTGAAAAAGGAGTAATGCATTCTCGCGTCTGGAATCTAAAAGAGTATATTTTAAGTAGTAAAAAGGAGTGATATTTAGTAAGTTTAGATACGGTCTCACTTCATATAATTTATCCGTATTATCAATTTGACTATTGTCAAATGCAAATTCTGCTTCATATTCCTGTACTGCAAACGTAATATCAATTCTCGTACAGCAGGAACAGAAATGTTGTTATCAAAAGACCAATACATTTTTTCTTAAGGTAAAGAATGGTATCCTGTAAGCAATAATATTCCAATAAATCTTCTCATATAGGCTTCAGATGCAATAAATTCTGGGATTTTTTTTTTCTGAGCGTATATATTTGTCTGTTCAACGAGAAGAGAGTAAATGTCTAAACCAAAAAGAAAATCGAAAATCTGTGCACTAGTTTTACCTTGTGTTTTGTCTTTTATAATTTCTCTTCTATCTCTTTCTTCATGTTCTTCCTGAGACATAACTAACAGTTCCTTTTTTATCCACTCAAAGATTTCAGTCTTCTGCTTTTTTAACTTTTTAGTATGATTATAACTGCTTTTAGAAGGCTGAAACTTATTTCTTACGTGAATTTCAACTTCCCCAGCAGTATCATTTGGTAAAATATCATTATCATTATTTAAAACATTGCCATGCCTTTCTTCTTCGTTACTAGCTTCTGCAATTTCTGGGGGAACAACAACAATATCAGTTTCATTCTGGTTATTATTAACATTATCATCGTTTGTTTCTTCATCAAAAAATTTTGAAGGGCCTCTTCTAATGTAAGATCCTCGTTCTAGGCATTTTTAAACAACCAGAACATGAACCAGATCATCGAAATGAATGAGTGAAAAAGAAGATTGACTACCCGTTTTTTGCTGACGTTGCGTCAACGCAACACCTGTTTTCTCTTCCTTCCCAACACAAATATAAACATCTGACTGATGTAATGTTCTGATAAACGGTGACCTTGACTAAAAATAGATCACTCATAAAGACTGTAATTCTTTCGTTAAATATTTTCAGCAAAAATACCCGGTCGAAAATTTTGCTTGAATTTTGCTTAAAGTATGAGATTAATTATTATAAACAAAATGATTGTTGAAGGCAAATATTTTTTACAGAAATAATCTTCATAATATTCCCTATACAAAATCATCTGCTGGTATAAAATATCTTGGGTAGTTATATTTATATACGCATTTATTTTGACCGTTGCGTCAACGCAACACCAGCGGCTAATGGGTTAACGCCTTTAAAACACCCAGTATTTAGAATGAAAATAAATTTTTGATACTCTGTAAAATCCATGGAATATGTTTGAATAAAAAAGTGGTATTTTTTTCAGCTTGGTTAACGAAAATTCAGGAGACTCAAGAATACTCAAACTGTACGGAATTCTAATTAATAATTCCTTTTTATTCAGTCTAATAAAGAAGATATTTTGATAATTTTTATATTGGGTATCGCACTTTATCATTTCTGGGCATTTGTCGTCTTTCTCTGCAGAAACGAATAACAATGAAAGAAAACGAGGAGAGGGGAAGCCGCAGTTATCTCATTTAAAGAAAACTTATTTTAGTTTGTTAATTATTTTTAGTTTCTACATAACACACAACATTTTAAAGTTTATTTACAAAATGAAAAATTTGATCATAAAACATCGTATTTTTAATATGCCCTGGAGCTTTTGCAGCGATTGGCATGTAGTATCTTGTGTTATATTTGTTTCCCTTTTCCTCATTAGATGGTCCAATATTTTAAAATTTAACTTTCAGTACAATTCTGTGTTAGACTGTTTTACACGGGTAGCACCGTTATTAACGTTTTGATTAAGATTCGCAGCAGGCGTTGGCCTACTGCTGTGGAAACGGCTTCCAAGCTACGTTTTCGAGAATGGTACTAAATCCAGCCTATTGTTGTAAAAACGGGACCACAGCTACCTTTTCGAGAATGGTTCTAAATCAACTCATCTAATGCTTTTATATTGAAAGCATCCTTTTCAAAAGTATCCGTTATAGTCTCTAGTGTGATTTCATTTTAAGTTTTGAGTACCATTATATTTGCATCAAGGAGATCGTTTTTGTTTGCCGTGAACTTAATAATTAAACTGAGAATATCGCACACAACGTATACTGCCTAGTTCTGTGGAAATAAGGTGTCAAAGAACACGCCCTCTGGTCCAAATTATGTTGTATGGATACCACCAGTGTTATGTAGCGAATTTAAATTATTAATATGTGTTTTAAGTCATTATTATTCTAATATTTTTATTTGTATTCATGTGTATTTTAATCTGGAAAAAGAAGTATTCTTAAGCTCTTAAGCTTTTATTTAACTTGTTGTTCTTGAGTAGGAATTGTAACAAAGGCGAGAGACGGTTGCGAGGACACACATCTGGTTTATGGCCGTTTCACTAACAATGTCGCCC